TCGTCGTCGTCCCCAGCCGCCCCCCCTCTGAGCCCCCGCGCCGTGCCGCCGGGGGCCCGGCACGCCGGCCCTTCCGCCAGCCAGGCCGGCAGTCCGTGCGACCGCCTCGCTGCTTGCCGGGTGCCAGCCTTTCGGGCCTTCAGCGCTCTCCTCCCTTCTCCTTCTCCTCCCTCCTCCTGCCTCCCTCCCTCCGTCTCTCCCTCCTTCCTCCTCCTCCTCCTCCTCCTCCTCCTTCTCCGTCTCGTCCTCCTCCTCTTCCTCTTCTCCTTCCTCGTCCTCGTCCTCCTCCTCCTCCACCCCGTTCCTCCCCCTGGTCGTCGTCGTCGTCGTCGTCGTCGTCCTCGTCGTTGGTCCCGTGTCCGTCCCTCTTGGGGTCGGGTTGACGCCGTTCCGTGTTGCCGCTGGCCAGGCCGACGGTCCGCTGTCGCCCCGCCGCTTGCCAGCCCGGCCTGCAGTGTTGCTGCTGCTGCTGCTGTTGTTGTTGTTGTTGTTGTTGTTGTTGTTGTTGTTGTTGTTGTTGTTGTTTTTTTTTTTTTTTTTTTTTTTTTTTTTTTTTTTTTTTTTTTTTTTTTTTTTTTTTTTTTTTTTTTTTTTTTTTTTTTTTTTTATTAAAAAAATGTTGTTGTCCTTGTTATTTTGTTGTTGTTGTTGTGGTGGTTGCTGTTGTTGTTGTTGTTGTTGTTGTGATTGTTGTTGTTGTTGTTGTTGTTGTTGTTGTTGTTGTTGTTGTTGTTGTTGTTGTTGTTGTTGTTGTTGTTTATGCTGTCTTTGTTGTTGTTGTTGTTGTTGTTGTTGTGGTTGTGGTTGTGGTTGTTGATGCTGACGTCGATGTTGATGATGTTGACGGTGATGATGGTGGTGATGTTGATGATGATGATGCTGCTGCTGCTGATGATGATGATGATGGAACTCGTTTGGGCCGCCGTCTTGGGGCTGTCTTGGCCTCCAGTGAGGCAGTCTTGGGGGTTCCTTGGGGCCCTCTTGGGACGTCTTGGGGCCCTCTTCGGCCGTGCGGTGGGTGTCTGGGGGCCGTCGTAGGGCCGTCTGGGCACCGCCTTGTGCCGTCGAAGTGCCTTGTAAGGCCGTCTTGGGTCCCATAGGGAGTCCTCTTGGGCCGTCTTGGGGCCGTTTTGGATGCCTCTTGGGCTATCGTGGAGTTCTCTCGTGCCGTCTTGAGCTGACGGCAGCTCGAAAAGGCGAGAATTCGACAATCATTCGAAAACCCACGGGGAATTATTGATTCTGGTTTCTTCTGACCCTGTCGGAGGTCCTCTTGTGGCCATTTTGTGCCCTCTTGGAGACATCTTGGGCCGTCTTGAATCAGTATTCTAGACGCTTCGAGTAACCCCGTCAGCCCATCCAGAAATGATGCCCAGACGGGTTGCCCTAATCATGGATGTGGAGGAGGATGCAGTGGAATAGAGGGCGGGGTAAGACGTAATACCCCAAGAAGGGGAGGATGGAGGAGGAATCGGAGGAGGAGCAGGAGGAGGATGAGGAGGGGGAGGGGTAAGGAGAGGTGGAGGGGGAGGACGGATGAGGAAACATGAGGAATGGGCGGATGAGGAAGAGGAGGACGAGGAGGAGGAGGGCGAGCAGACAGGCCAAAGGCCTCTTGGATGTCTCTTGGAGTCTCTTCGGATGTCTTTCGAGAGCATCTTGAAGTGTTCTTAGGTCGCCTTGGAAGTTTGTCCGTAGTCACGGAGGCCTGTTGGGGCGTCTTGGGTGCCTCTTGCGGGCTTTTAGGTGCCTCTTGGGGGTCTCCTGGGAGCCACTCGGGGGCCTCTTGGGGGCCTCTTGGGGGCCCCCAGGGCACCCCTCGGGGCCGTCTTGGGGCACCCCTGGGAGCCTCGGGGGCCAATCTTGGGACCATCTTGGAGGTGATCGATCAGAGAAGGGGGAGGTTCCAATCAGGCCCCCCCCCTGGAGTGCCAAGCCCCCGCCGCACAGCCGATCATCCGGAGGGGCTCGTGGGCACGAGGAGCGGCAGCACTGGCAACCCATGGAACAAAAAAGGCGAGCTCTGAACAGACGGGGAAGATCAGGAGGGGAAAAACACACAGACACAAGTAATCGTCGATTCCCGAGAAAATATGGGCAAATATGGGAAGTGGGGGAAGACAAAAACCCAGAACATGTGGGAAAATATTGGGGATCCTGTGATTTCTGTCTATTTATTTGTGTGTCCCTGGGCCCCTTCAGAGGAGGTGGGGCGGGGGAGGAGGCCAACGTGTTGCCCAGACCTTTTGCAACATCAGTGATCGTGGCCTTCTCGCCGAGGCCTCTTTGGACGTTCTAACTAACCGCGACCCCCCTTGTACAGGTCCAGGGGTAGGGGTGGGGGGAGGGGTCAAGCTACCCTCCTAGTTAGCAGGCCGTCTAGCTCACTCCCACCCGCCCTCCCAGCACACAAGTAACACCCGAGTGTCAGCATATCGCACAGGAGCGCCACACATGCCATGCGCGCTAGGGTTCCAGGTGCACCAGGCACCTTGGAGGCCGAAGCGCGCCAGGCGCGCCAGGTGCTGCACATACTCCACATGCGCCAACTGCGCCACGTGCTTCAGCCGCGCCAGGTGCGCCAGCTACGGGGAAACAATCGGGACCCCAGGTGCATGGGGCCCTGGCCCAAAAAGAGTTCAGAATCTTGAGCCCCCCTGAAGCGAAGTGCCGAGCATTCTGTGAGAAGGGCGGCTCCAGGGAACGCCAAGCAGCAGCACCGATGGTCGAAATTAGACATGTCGAGGAGTGGTGGAACAGATGAGAGCTCAGATGAAAGAGCGCCTCCTTGGAAGAGTACAGAGAGGATGTCGCCAGCAACGCGCAGCTGGAGAAGCCGGAGCACACGCTCGCGGGACACAGTGTGTCGCCACACCATCCCAGCCAAAAAGCACGAGAAAGGGGTCATGCACCCCCGCCATCCCTGTCAACAACCAATTCAATGTGGTTTTTGATCGGGACGGGTTGTCCTGCGCGCAGCAAGCAATGTGCCGGCACCCCCCGCCATCCCTGTCCAAAACAAGCCAACAATTGGTCGCGGGGCGCCCGCGCGTTCTCCAGATCTAGATGCGAAGGGCATTTTTTTGTTTACAAGGGAGGAGGGGGGCCCTCATTGGTCCTGGTTGGTTGCCGCTCGCCTGGGGGAGGGGGTGCTTCTTGACAGGGAACAGGTGGTCACGACGCCCTTCCCGCCAGTGAGCCGTCTCGCTCACTCCAGCCCGCCCTCCCGACACTGAAGTAGCACCCGGGCTTTGGCATGTTCAGCGATCGTCTGCGGATGGGCAGCTACTGGGAACCAGTACAGACCACATGTGCGCGATGGGGCGAGGTGCGCCACGCGAGCCAGGCGCCCCAGGTGCGCCAGGCACCCCCGGGGGCCCAAGCATGCACGGCACGCCTCGCGCGCCGGATGCGCCACGTACTCCGCGTTCGCCATGTGTGCCGCATGGTCAGCCGCGCCAGGTGCGCCACATCCGGGGCACGCGCAGAGAGTGCCAGGTGCGCCCGCGCACGTGACAGCACACATCGGGAAACATGTTGGCCCCCGCCATCCTTGTCGAAAGCCGGTGCGCAATCGCGACGGGGAGGCCATCGTGGTGTCTGGTGGGCCTGCGCACAGCAGGCAATATGCCAGCACCCCCGCGGTCCTTGTCAAACAACAGTGGCCAGTGATCGCGGGGTGGCCGCGCATGATCCAGATTGGGCGGCGAAGTGCATGTGGTATTGTTTTTGAAAGGGGTGGTGGCATTGCGCAGAACCGACAACATGAGGGCACCCTGCCGTCCCGGTCAAAAGGGCTCACGAGCATGACCCAAGATTTTGCCCCAAAGTGTGTTTCGTATTGTGTTTTCGATTGGGATGGGGGGCAGTTGGCATTGGTTTTTGTTCGCTGCTGGCCGCCTGGGGGAGGGGGTGTTCGTTAATAGGGAACAGACCTAAGAGGAGAAATGGAGGTTGGAAGCAGAAACTCGCTAAACCGCTCACGTCCTAAAGGGCTGGCCGGATTCGGCCGCCGTGGGGCCATTCTAGGCCGTCATCGGGGCACTTTGGGCCATTTCGGTGTGCTGCCTGTACGGACCGTCCTGTAAACTCGTGAAGCACATCCATCGTTTTGCACGAGGGATCTTGGCTTGGGAGGTCCTGAAGCGCTTGGGAGCAGCGCCAGGGAGTGCGGGAAGTGCACGATCCTCGAGCGCGTGCGCGTGCGATGAGGGATCCAGGAGTTCGCAGCTATGCGGGAAGTGCACCATCCTCGAGCGGGCGCGCATGGAATGAGGGTTCAGGCAGTAGCTGCCATGCGGGAAGTGCGCCATTTTCGAGCGGGCCAGGCATTAGCTGCCATGCGGGAAGAGCACCGTCCTCGAGCGGGCACGAGGGAAGTGGCCTCGGAAAGCAGGGGCGATGCATGCAACAGTCCGCGGGTGGGAGGGGGGGGGGCGGCGATCCTTTACCAAAAGTCAAGGAATTATGCTAGACAGACCTTGGTATTCTTCCCCGCTTCGACGTACCAGGTGGCACGGTGGCGGATTCACTGCTAGGTTCCATGGTGCGTGGTTGATATATATATGTACTCTTTTGTCCACGTGCGCTTCAGGGCGCTGTTTCGGTTCAGCCATGCCCTGCTGTCCTTTGCTATGCTGAACCCTGACACGTTGTAGTGCGCGATGCTATGTCATACTATGACATTCTATGACGTGCTGCGTCATGCCATGCAATGCTGCGACTGCTGCGATTGCACGAAGTAGTCGGCGGCGATATGGAGCGCACGCCTTCACTACTCGAAATCCGTTGTGCTCTGTCGCGCCGTGCGGGGGCGCGCATCCAAATCTTCAGACCACCAGAAGTCTCTCTCTCTCTCTCTCTGGCCTCCCACCGTTCCTCCCTCCCCTCCCCTCTCTGCCGCAGCCGTTTTGGCTCCAGCCACCTTGTGGCCCAGGCTCCTCGGCCCGTCCCTTCCCCGCCAGCCCGCGCGCGAAACAGCGGACGCCCCGCGAGCGGAAATGACGCCCGCGCTGGCCGCCAACAGCAGGAGCCGCGGGCCACAGCAGACGAGGTCGGTGGATCGCGCCGCACCGCCCGATGCGTCGGCTCGCTGTGGAGCCCGATCCTCTCCACGCTCATGCGGCTGCCTCCACAAAGGGCCTCTCCCCGCCTCCTCCTCCTCCTCCTCCTCCTCCTCCTCCTCCTCCTCCTCCTCCTCCTCCTCCTCCTCCTCCTCCTCCTCCCCGGAGTTGGCCTCGGCGGAAGGCGGCGGAAGGCTGGCGGCAGGCAGGCGGAGGCAGACCGGTGACTTCTCCGCCGGCGGAGGCGGGCGGAGGGCTGGCGGCAGCTGGTGGAAGCAAACGCTGCGTCCCCAAGAGGCAATGGGCGCCCTCGAGGGCGCGAAGTTATTCGCGCTTCGCGCTTCGCGGTTCGGCTCCGATTCCTCCTCATCCTCTTCTCCCTTGGGAGGCGGCGCGAGAGCGCGAAGTTATTCGCGCTTCGCGCTTCGCGCAGCGCGAAGCGCGAAGTTGGGAGCCCTTGAAGAGGTGAGACTTCTTTTGGATCTGGGGCTTCGACCTGCGTCGCGCCGTGCGTCGCCGATGCGTGCGCCGATGCGTCGCCGATGCGTCGGCGATGCGGCGGGATCCTCCACTTGTCGGCGGCGTGCCCGGGCGGGAGGCAGAGGGGGCCGGCCTTCTCTCGGCCACGTGCAGAGGGGGGTACGGGGGGAGGGGGGAAGGCTCCTTAGAAGCACCCCTGTCTCTGAGAAGGAGCGGGCCGTGTCTACAGATGTGATGCCGGCGCCTTCTGAGAAGCAGCCTCCTTTTGAGGCGCCTTTCCCCCTCCCCCTGCCCCCTGTGCGCGCCGCCAAAGGGTGCTGGCCTTCTCAGCAGGCGGCGGGGCTTCTCAGAAGCCAGCCCGCCTTCCGAGAGGTCCCCCCGCGGCGTCGGAGGAGGCCCAGAGGTGCCCATTCTGGACGGCGGGAGGGCTCCTGAGGAGTCCCGCGCCGCCTTTGAGGCGGCGAGCCCCCGTTGGCCAGGAGGATAATCCTGGAGGCCTCGCGCGGCGTGCCATAGTTGAATTGTCTAGTCCACACGTCCGAGGCGGGAATTTTTACATGACCACCGCCCGGAGGGTCAGTTTTCGGAGCCTCGGCAGGCGGTGGATATGGACATATTCGGGCCCCGGGGGGCCGAAACATATCCATGTCCACCGCCCGCTGGGGCACCAGGACGTCGGTTCCCAGGCGGTGGATATGGATAAGTCCCCGCCTCGCAACACGTCCACCCCGCCAGGTGCGGGACGGCGTTCGACCGGCGAGCGACGCGAAACCGACGTGGCAGACGACGTGGCTCCGAGGTGCATTTGGGTGTGAGGGTGCCGCGCGAGGCCTCCAGGATGTTCCTCCTGACTCTGCCTCCCCCCCGCCTGGCGCGCCGCCGAACTTGTGTGCGGCCTCCGAGGACGGCGGCGTCCCGCACCGCGCGCGAGGGCGGTGGCTGGGCGGCGGTGGCGGGCCGCGGCGCGCCCGCGCCGCCCGCCGCCCGCGGCTGGGCCGAGCTGCCGGAGGTGCGGGGGCTCCCGGAGCGGCACGATCGAGACGGGTACGGAGAGAACGGGTGCGACGACCGACAGCGGGTCGTAGGTCTGCGTTTTCCTTCTTTTTTTTCCCCCCCTCCCGTCTTGGGCTCCTCGTCCGCGCACAGCTGGCGTGCACTGCACTGCGCAGCCCCTCCTGTTCCCCCCCACTCGTTCCTGTGTCAGTGCCTGAGCGAATCTTCCTGCCGGCTTTTTCCTGCACTTTCGTCGAGCCCAGTATAGTGTCATTTTGCCCGAGACGATGTTTGTACAGCCCGGCCGATGCACATCGAGTTGTGCGCGGGTGGGCCCAGTGGCTGCGCAAGAAGCTGGTGGAGGTTTTGAAGAGGCGAGAAGAACAAAATTTCTGCTCATTTTGAGCAGGACTCGCTGTCGGTGTCGCCGCGGACGTTGTCCATTCGAGACAGAAGGCCGCCTGCTCAACAGCGGCCGCTGCCAGCTTTGGACAACATTTGCTGTTGGACATCGTGCCCATTGTTTCCGTACCCATTTCGATCGTCCAAGCCAGAGCGGTGCGGTGACCACACAGCGTATGGTGATTGGCGGCGCGTGCAAGGGGGTTGCGCGAGAGGGGGCGGTCTTCTTAGAAAGCGAGGGAGCTTCCAAGAAGGCAGGGGGCTTCTTGGAAACCCTGCCGGCTTCAAACAAGGCTTCTTCGAAACCCTGGGGCTGTCTGAAGAGGGCCCCCCCTTCGTAGAATGCCGCCCCCTAGTGCCACCCGTGTGCGCGCCGCAGAGGTGAGTGGGGATTCGGGGTCACGGCACGGCTTTGGGACTCGTGCCGTTTTTCGAGGATGTCTCGGGCGACTGGGGCTTCCGAGGCCCCCACGCCGTGCAGCGAAACCGGCCGCGCGGGGTGAGGCCCTCTGAGGTTTCGAGGTCGTGGTCTGCCGCCGCACCGCTCCCGGGGCCCCGGGCGGAGGGGGAGAAGCGGAGCCGGACCTCGCGGCTCATGGAGATGGGCTTCCCGCAGGAGGACGTCGGCGGTCGAGAAGCTTCCGTCCGTCTGCCAGTTCTCTGGAGCGTCCTCGTCGTCGCCCCTCCTCCTCCTCCTCCTCCTCCTCCTCCTCCTCCTCCTGCTCCTCCTCCTCCTCCTCCTCCTCCTCCTCCTCCTCCTCCTCCTCTTCCTTCTCCTCCTGGCGTCCTCCCTAGCCGGCCGAAACGACGGCGGTCCTCCCTGGCGTTTGTGTTGTCGTTGCTGGCCATCCCGGAGGCTGCTCGTGGCCGCGACAGAGGGTCTGCCTGGAAGAGCGGGCCCGGAGGGACCCTGGACGGGGTCCGGGGGCGGCTTTTGAGCGGAGTCGGGCCGGGCGGGACAGCCGCGGTTATCTCAACTGGCCCTCCGGCTTATGCCGACCTCGAGCTCTGGGTGCCGAGGAGGCGTAGGAGGGCACGGCGGGGAAGCCTGGCTCCAGGGGCCGGGTTTTTGCGCAACGGCCCCCCGCACCATTCTGCCCCTCTCGTGGTTGTTTTTGTTGGGCAGTTGCGAGCGGGGGCCTCAGATGGGGACGATCAAAATGGGTACGGAACAAAGGGGTACGAAGACCGACAGCAGTTTTTGTTCATTCTGAGCAGGGCTCGCTGTCGGTGTCGCAGCGGACGTTGTCCGTTTGAGGCAGAAGGCCCCCTGCTTCACAACGGCCGCTGTCGGTTCTGGACAACACTTGTTCTTGGGCATCGTGCCCATTGTTTCCGTACTCACTTCGTGACTGCCCAGGATGCGCGGCAGGCGCTGGAGGAGCACAGCTGGGACCCCAACCGCGCGCTCGACAGCCTGATCTTGGGCGCGTGCCGCCCAAAGCCTGGGGCCCAAGGTCGGAGGTCTAAAGGCGGGCACCAGCGCCAACATCGGCGGCGTGCCTCCACCAAGGGAAGATGCTCCCGATCTCGGTGATGGTGGCAATATTCTCCGAGGCGGGAATTTTTACATGAGCACCGCCTGGAGGGTCAGTTTTCGGAGCCTCGGCAGGCGGTGGATATGGACATATTCGGGCCCCCGGGGGCCGAAACATATCCATGTCCACCGCCCGCTGGGGCACCAGGACGTCGGTTCCCAGGCGGTGGATATGGATAAATCCCCGCCACGCATATATTCGGGCTTCCAGTTGTGGCCGAAAGATTACCACCAGCTCCAAAATCTAGGATCCCCTCCCCCCCTGTGGACGCACCTCCCTTTTTTGGTGTTGTTGCACATTCCCAGACCCCCGACGTCATGATTCTTTCATGACGTCGACCCCCAGAGGTCTGGACCCTTTCCCCGGGACCGGCTTTTCGTCCCGAGTCGCGCCTTGACCGTCCCGAGGCCCGGGAAGGGCCCCCGGAGGCCGAACGTACTGGAAAGCCTCCCGTCGTGATTTCCTCTCGCAGCGCGAGGAGGTCTGGGTTTCCACGCCTCCCGCAAAGGGGGAGCGGGAGCCGCCGTGCCGCCGAGGGCGCCCGCGGGAGGCACCAAGGCCGCGGCCGAGGCCGGCATCAAGAGCCTGCTCGGGCTGCAGCCGAAGCCCCCGCCCGGGGGCGGCGCCTCGCCCGACCGCTCCACGGCGGCGTCGGACACCGGGGCGACCGAGGCGGTCGAGGGCGAAAGAAGCGCCGCAGACATGAAAAACTGTCTGGCGCTCCGCCAGGCCGGCTGCAGCTGGGGGAGCTGTGGTCCCTACCCCCCCTGGGGGGCCCGACACCAGATCCGCGATGCGATGGGTTCCCCCAGGGGGGTAAGGACCACGGCTCCCCCAGTTATGGCTGGTCGGTCCGCGCGGTGTTCTCGGATCCGCGCTGGGGCCCCTCCCGGCGGCGCCTCCGGCGGCGCCTCCGGTGGCGCCCCTGGAGCGCCCCGCGTGCCAGGGAGGGGGTCCCGTGCAGATCCAAGAGATCCGCGCGGAGCGCCAGACGTTTCTGTTTATGGCGTTTTTTTCGTCTTCTACATGGGGCGTTCCAAAAAGGGCCTTGCCTTCGAGGATCGAAGGAGCTGCCATCTCTTCCGCTGCGGAGGGCGGCGGAAGGGCGGCGGAAGGTCGGCGGAAGTAAACGAGGCCGCCTCCGCCGGCGGAAGTTCGGCGGAAGTTCGGCGGAAGGTCGGCGGAAGTAAAAGATGTGCCCCAAAGAGATGAAAACGTTTTTGGATTCAGGGTTCCGAAATCCCCCAAATGGGTACGGAAGTAACGAGTATATGAAGACCGACATCGTGTTCGGCCATGCGCAGAGGGGGGTTCTCGGGGGGAGGGCGGAGAGGCTTCTCAGGAGCGCCCCCTGCTTCTTAGAAGGCCTGGGCCCCGTCTGCAGGTGTAGGGCCGCCGCCTTCTTCGAGAAGCAGCCTCCGTCGAAGAAGCCGTCCCTCCTGTCCCTACCCCCTTGTGCGCGCGGCCACTACTTCCTGCTCCTTTTGAGCAGGACTCGCTGCCAGTGTCGCCGCGGACGTTGCCCAGTCGAGACAGGAGGCCGCCTGCTCAGCAGCGGCCGCTGTCGGTTCTGGACAACATTCGTTGTTGGGCACCGTGCCCATCCTTTCCGTGCCTACTCCGGGTGTCCAGAGGACAGCACCTCGTCCCCGCGCACGCCGCCGCTGCAGGCCGTGGCGCCGCTGGCCGCTCAGGCGGCCCCCCCGGTGGCCGCGACGCCCAACCGGCGGCTCGTTCGGGTGCGCCAGGCTTGGAAGCAGGAGTCGGAGAAGAGACAGCGGCATGAACGTACACTTTTTGGAGTTCCGCGCGGATTTGTAGAGCTGCGCTGGACACTCCCGGCGGCGCCGCCCCTGGCGCGCTCTGCGCGCCAGGGAGGGGGGTCCAGCGCCGATTCACGAACTCCGCGCGGACCTCTGAAAGTTTGCGTTCCTGCGTTCGTTGCTATTCTGAGGAGGACTGGTGCTCCGCGAGCCAGCTGAACGTCGAGGAGGGCGACCCCGTCCTCGTCTGGGACGGCAGCGGCACGGCGATGGGGTGGATCTACGCCGAGAGCGTCAAGGAGGGAGGCGGCGCGGGCTGGCTGCCCCTCTCCGCGGTCGGGGAGGGCGCCCCGCAGCAGCCGCCTCTCCCGCCGGCCGCGCCCGCCCTGGAGCAGCTCGCGGCGGCGCCCTACGCGGTGCCCCTCCCGCAATCCGCGCCCGCGCCAGAGCAGCCGGCGATGGTGCCGTACGCGGCGCCCGTGGCGCCAGGGCAGCTGGCGATGGCCTCGTACGCGGCGCCCGTGCCGCCGCCCCCGGTGCAGGCCCAGTCATCCGCGCGCTGGATGCGCACCAGCCAGGCATGCGCCGCCACGTACGACAACCAGCTGCCTGTGCAGGCGGGTGCCCCGCTGCTGGTGCACACCGACAGGGTGTCTTCGGTAGCAACTCATGGGGGCTATGTGTGTCCTCGAAATGCGCGCGCTAGCGTCTGGTAATCGATGAGAAAGCGGCGCCGGTTCGGCGTCAGTTAGCGTCGCTCAGCTTCGATTGGCGTCGCAGCGTCGATGTGCGCCGAGTTGGCGTCGATCAGCGTCGCAGCGTCGATCCGCAACAGCCAGCAAGATGGCACGGGAGGCCCCCGCGAGTTGCCGCCGAAGGTGTCGCCGGACGGCCACTGGGTCTTCGCGGAGGCTCAGGACGCGGGCGCCCGCTCCTTCCCCGGGGTCGGCGTGGGCCCCGCGGCCGCGAGCCGCTCGGGCTGGGTGCCCCGCGTGTGCGTGGAGTGGCCGGGCTCCCGCTGAGGCGGGGCGGCGGGAGCTGTGCACGGCCAGCGCCGCAGGCCTGGCCCCAGCAACGGGGCCCAGGAGCGGTGACCGCGGGTCCTCCGGCCTCGGCCGGGGAGGCCTGTAGGCACCACCCTCTCCTCCTCCTCCTCCTCCTCCTCCTCCTCCTCCTCCTCTCCTCCTCCTCCTCCTCCACCTCCTCCTCCTCCTCCTCCTCCTCCTCCTCCTCCTCCTCCTCCTCCTCCTCCTCCTCCTCCCTCCCCTCCTCCCCCTCCTCCTCCTCCTCCTCCTCCTCCATCTCTTCTCCTGGGCCCGGGAGGGGGCGGGGCCTGCGGCAGCGGCTGTGCAGAGGTGCCCGCGCCCTGTGAGGCAGCGGGCGCCGAGGCTCCGAGAGTGCCGCAGGCGGGGCTGGGGAGGAGCCGAGAGGGCACACAGAGCTCGCGGCGGCCTGCGGCATGGCTCGCCCAGCTTGCCGGCGCGGTAGCGACGCAGGCGCGGGCGCTGCGTGTGGGACGCCCTCCGGGCCCCCTGTGTCGGTCCTGGGGCTCAAGGGCTCCCGGGTGGGGGATCGGAGTAGATGGGTAGGGGGCCAGATGCGAAGCCTACCCCTACCTTTCATGATTTCTGAGGGGGAGGGTGGGGTAGGGTTCGCATGTGGCCCCCTAATGGGGTCAAAGGATTGCGCCGCATCGCCGATGCATCGCCGATGCATCGCCGATGCGGCTGGGTGTCGAGCACGAGCTCCTTCACGTCGGCGTCGCCGAGGCATCGATGCATCGCCGATGCGTCGCCGATGCATCGGCGAGGGGGCGTGATCCCCCGACCCCAGCTACTCCGACCCCATCCAGGAGGCCTCCAAGCGCGGGCGTTCAGTGGGGAACGCTCTCCAGGGGATCCCGTGTCGGTCCTGGGACTCAGGGGAGCCTGGCATCGGTTGGGCGCGTGCCTGTTTTCTCGGCGGCGCCAGCGCCAGAAAATCTAGGCCATCTCGGGGCATCAAACACACAAACACACACACACACGTTTGTGTGTGTGTGTGTGTGTGTGTGTGTGTGTGTGTGTGTTTGTATATTTTTCCCACGTCAGTGGGAAAACTCTCACACACACACACACACGTTTGTGTGTGTGTGTGTGTGTGTGTGTGTGTGTTTCAAAAAACACACGTTCCGGTTTTTTTCCCACAGTTTATCTCTCTCTCTCTCTCTGTGTGTTTTTTCCCACGTGTGTTTTTGTTTGGACCACCGTGAAAACAAACACACGCACGGAACCGAACAGGGCTCCGCGCGATGGCAGGGAAAGCAACCCATGGTGCGAAGTTCGGAAATCCGTGGTCTGGGAGCGCAGGGGACGCCCTCATTCGATGCTCGTTTTGGGGACCCTCCTGGGGCCCACCTAATGGATCTGTTCGACTCAGGTTCGACTCAAGTTCGACTCAGGTTCGACTCCGGTTCGACTCAGATTCGACTCAGGTTCGACTCATGTTCGATTCAGAATCGACTCAGGTTCGACGCAGCTTCGACGCACGAGTGGAGCGAGTGGCTCCAGGAAGGTCCCCAGAATGAGCATCTAACCCTCAGGGACTCCGTTTCGGTCCTGGGGCCCACGGGTCGGGGAGGCCGAAACGGGTGTGCGGAAGCAGCGGGTGCAAAAGGCCAGCAGGAGATTTGGCCCTTTCGGAGCAGAATTTTGCTTTTGGCGTCGCCGCGGTCGTTGCTCATTGGAGGCACAGGCTCGCCTGCCCAGCAGCGGCCGCTTTCGGCTTTGGACATCATCGGTCGTTGGGCATCGTGCCCATTTTTTCCGTACCCACTTCGGGCGTCCGAAACGGAAGGCAACTTTACGGTGCGAAATTCTTGCGTGAGATGTGGTCGACAGCTTGTGGGGGCCTTGGAGGACGGAGGCAGACAAGGGTCTGCGTCGTCACGGCAGGAACCTGCCGTAGTTTTAAGTCGGGCTTGTCTCTCTGCAGGAGGAACATTCAAACATAAACATAGTCCAAAATATGATGGGGACGATTTTTTGATCATGTTTTGACTATTTGGGGCTATGTCTGGAGTATCTTTTATTTTTCGCCCAGAAGCCGCCTGTATGGGGGACCCGCCAGACCTGACCGCAGCTCGAGACACGGGACCCCAGCGAAGAGGCGTCTCCTTCGGCTCGAGGGCGCGGCTCGGCTCGTCCAGAGTGGCTTCTCTCGACGCAGCAGCTGGCCTCCCGCTCCTCCTCCGCCTCTTCTCCCCCTCCTCCCGCTCCCGCCCGACGCCGCGAGTTTTTTCCCGTGCCGCCAGACGCCCTGGGGCTCCCTGCCCCTTCCCCAACATATTGCGAAGGCCTTACGGCCGATGCCGCCGACCCTGCAGGCAGCGACGACGAAGATAATGGAGGTAGAGGGGTCCAAGATACCCTCGGATGGCTCGAAGACGGCGGCAAATGCCTGCAAGGTCGTCCGAAGACAGCTCAAGAGACCTCCTCCAGGGTTCGGGAACGGCGATTTTTTCTCGTGTCGTCAGACGCCCTGGGGCTCCCCACCCCTTCCCCAATAGTTGCACCGCCGTCCTGTGCCGCTTCCACGGTCCCGAGGGCCCGACACGAAGCCCCATTCGAAGCACGCGTCGGCCGCCAGGGACGTTGTGGTACTTGTCTTGCTCCTTGCTCTGCCGATCGGTTTCGGGCCTTTGCAACCCCCCCCCGTCCCCCCCGAGGCTCCCCCATAGGACGCACTGCTGCAAACGGTCGCATGGAGCAGAGGCCCGGAGCCAGACCCCCCTTTCCCCCCTTTTTTTCGCCCCCAATGTCGAAACGCCAAATAAGAAAACGCTCACTTTGAGACGCCAGACCTAAGCCCCCCTCCTCCTCCTCCTCCTCCTCCTCCTCTCCTCCTCGTCCTCGTCCTCGTCCTCGTCGTCCTCCTCCTCCTCCTCCTCCTCCTCCTCCCCCTCCTCCTCCTCCTCCCCCTCCTCCTCCTCCCCCTCCTCCTCCTCCTCCTCCTCCTCCTCCTCCTCCTCCTCCTCCTCCTCCTCCTCCCTCCTCCTCCTCCTCCTCCTCCTCCTCCCTCCTCCTCCTCCCCCCCTCCCCCTCCTCCCCCTCCTTCCCCTCCTCCTCCTCCTCCTCCCCCCCCTCCTCCTCCTCCTCGCCCCCCTCCTCCACATTTGGCGCGGAACCGCAGGCCCGACCTCGCCCTGCTGGGCCCACGGGGCCGCTCTTCTTGCCGGGCCCCCCTCGCCATGGCACGGCACAAAAGGGCCGAGCGCGTGCGCGAAACTGCGCGCGCGCGCCTGGGCACTGGAATTCGCCGCGTGCCTTGCCCGACCTCGGGCGACCCGAAGACAGATAGCCTGCGGGGCCCAAAGGCATACACCACCACCACCTCCCTCATCCCTCATCCCTCATCCCCTCCCTCCCCCAGGAGAGAGGGGAGGAAGGTGAGGGTGGAGGAGGGAGGGGGGAAGGGAGGTGGTGGCGGTGTATCTTATTGGGCCGGGCGGCTCGAAGAGATCGTTACGGGGCCCCCGAGGTACACACCACCACCTTCTCCCTCGCCCCTTCCCTCTCCCAGGAGACGTGGGGAGAGGAAGACGAGGGTGGAGGAGGGAGGGGGGGATGCAGGTGGTGGTGGTGTACATGATCGGGGCCCGCGATCGCGTGCCGCGGGCGTCTCGCGATGCTCTCGCGGCAGTTCGGCGGGGCAGCCCCCGGTGGCCGCTCCTCGGGGGGCCGCGCCGCCGTGGGGAGGTCTGGCCGTTCAGAGTTCTGGGGG